AACACATGTCATTTCGATACAATATTAAGGTAGTACACCCCTAATGCACTATCTCCACTTTGAAGAGTATTCAAATAGGCAAGAATCACTGTCAATTGTATTGAATCTGAAGGTAGTGGGTTCAAACCCCAGAAGGGGCAACTTTTTTTTAACATTTTTTATGAATTTCTCAGATCCCAAATGGAAGAAAAAAGTGTTTCATTTTAATTATATAGTTATTGTAGGTATTTATTTGCTAAATAATGTCAAATTTAATAGCAAATATGATACCAGATATTTTCAAATGTTAATAAAATAAAAACTACACGGTAAAAGTATTTTATATTTTGCAAGACAAACCAGTATACATTTAAGAAAATTTAGGCAAACTTTGAAAACACCCCGTCTTTGTTAAAAACCTTTCGGATATTTTAAATAAGGCTTTTTACATAGGGAAATGGTCAAATAAGTGTTTAAAGTGGGTGGGGTAGGGCTACATTTTTAAACATATTTTAAATATTTCGTTTAGGAACAATCATTTTGCTCGTTTAATTTTTTACCTGAATGTCATTGTTTGTTTCTTAACAATGAGCAATAGGAAAACATTTTTCATAATGATGATATTATAGATTATTTAGTTTCCTCATTTCTGAAAAAAAGCCTTTCTAATGGCAAAGTTATTTGTCAGAAAAATGTCCATAACTCATAAACAACACAGTAAATACTGTTTAAATGTTGCATATTGGTGACATTTAAGGCATATAACTGTCCTATGCTGTCAATTTTAAAGTTCCTTATAATGTCCATTAATGGTGTACTACCATAAGTTCATGAGTGCATTTTGGTATAAAATTTAAGTTAGTTATAGTGTTATTAGATTGAATTTCATTAATGGTTATTTCAGAAATTATTTAGATTGTTTAAAGTCAGGTGATAATATATAGTTGTTTAATCAAAAATTGTATAATTTCAGTTTTAAATACCGACATTAATTTTTTAGGATCGAAACATCTAACATAATAGTGGCTACAAAAAATCTATTTCACATGATAAGGACGGGACAATTTAAAAGCCAGTATTCACAGTTTTAAATAATCGTTCACGTGACAAATGACGAGAGCCACAAATTTGTTTCCACTTTTTGAGTTATAAGTGGTACATGTATAAGTATGCATTAGGTAATATGGGATATTTAACAAATTATTGTTAGTACCTACAGATAGAATATACTAAACAAAAATTGCAGTTGCTTGGTTTAGTTTGAAATTATATGTTTTATTTGTATTTTTGTACCTGGTAAATTTTATCACTCTTATAAATGCAAATGCAGAGAACCTTGCGCAGATTAAGGTTAACATTTATCATCCAAAATTGGAATGCATTTGGGAGAAAAAGACTGCTTTGATTCTTCATACAAGTGTCATTTTTGATATTTTCAGTTTTTATGAAGGTATTTTAGTGTTTAGATACTGCAAAAGCTTCCGAAATTGTACCGGAATGTTCCATTTTACTATTTTGTCATCTTTTTAATCACGCAAACGGTAAATATCCCCGTTCAAAACACGCTGCTTGTGCATGCATCTGACCTCGCGAGTTTTCAACTACAATCTCCCTGATTCCACGTAAACATCCGAAACGGACATCATTGATTATACCCCGACAGTATAATCGGCAGGAATGGAAAAAATTGAAATGGCGTTATCCGTCAATCCATAACTCAGATATGTTTTTCAAATTACCATTTAACCTGGCATTAATACCACTATGAATAGAAAACAAAAGGTTAAGATTCAGTTTTGGTAATTCGTAAATAATACATTCATTTGCAAATCAAAATACCCATGAGCAAAATATTGACGTTTGAAGGTTTCAATCATAATTGAGATGAATGCATTGATCATAATCAACAGATGTATGTCCTCCAGTAATTGCCTTTTATTTCTAACTCCCAGGCAAAACAAACTTTGTCCAAAGATTAATGTAAAGATAAAGAAATAACAATGTTATCATCTATTTGTATTTATATTTTCTACCAACAGAATAACTTCTGCGTGCATATTTCACAGAATTTACTAATTTTATTGTTATTAACACGTACCATATGATGTTAAGGATAAAATATAAATTTAAAGTGTTCTTGACAACTCACCATTTACACTTTGATAGGGATAATGCCACCTTGAATGAGGCAATTCCAATTTCAATTCTTAACTCTATAAAGATCGATACATGAAGTAGGAAAGCTATTTAATCATGAGATTTCATTCAGTTACAACAAATTAGCCACTAGGCCCACCCCACTAGGCACACCCCTTTAAAAAAAACATGTGTTTACTTAACGTACACGTACACAACAAATGTTGTTTCTGATATCAGAGAAAACGACAATCTTTATAAAAATATTACAACGGAAGTGCCATTAGCAATTAGTTTTACTCTGTTAGCAAAGCAGAACAAAATATAAAAAATATCACCTTCGATATATAAAAAATAGTCTCACCGGTACTTTTGATAACGTAAAAACGTTATAATATGTTAATGCAATTACTTTCCAGTTTGTTCAACACAATGATTTCATTTTATAAAAGAAAAAGAAAATAGATACTTATTAAATAAAGTATTAACGATAGATGATTCAAATAAGGGACATGACAACACTAATTTATTTTGTACAAAAAGTTAGTGAACAGAAAGTATGTAATATTTTGGAAACGACAACTCTACCCTGTTCAATATTATATGCTTGACGAGTACAACACTTACACTGAGTTGATAAAATATTATTTGCAAACTTCTTCATAATTTGATTGGCATACTGGTCTTCTATCAAATGCATTAGCCATTCTCACACTAGGTATGATAAATAACTCATTGTTTAATTCATTAATAACTTTAACTTCAAAAATGTAACTTTCCTTTTCTTTTTTTAATGTTTAAATAATATAGAGAACCTCATGAGAAATTGATATTACGGCCAAAACTAATTATATTATATTGCAACAATTATAGTCTTATATATCAATGAATGACTTTATTTTTTGTATCAGAATGACTTTAGAAAATTCCTTTTCTGCTCAAGTCGTCTGGTAACTGCAAATATAAGCTCGATCGTTACGTTTAAAAACATTATTTAATTCATTTCATTTATTTGCCTAATCAGACAAATGAGAATTTGATTTAATGGAATTTATTGTTTACATAGCAATTGTTAACAAGATAAAAATTTCAATTAATATGTTCGTTGCTTCAATTCAATCCGTTTAATATAACATGATAACATGTTCAAGATAATTGATTTTTAAATTTGGGAATTATTACCAAAACTCGTTTATATAAAACAAACTGTAGCTTTTTGCACCAGACGACATAAGATATTTTCTTCAGCGCGTGCGTATTTCTTTGCACAATAATAGACAATAATTACCTTGGGGTACATCTTCTAGTCTCTATTCTTTGGAATGCATTCGTTTTTCTTGACACACGTTTAATGACCGAATTAATTTTCCTCGAGGACACAGACTCAGTTATAAATGTAATTTCCTTCTATATTTGAAAAGAAAAAGACATACACGTAATGAATAATGCCATTAACACAAGATCTGACAGCATATGTCTTGGAGATTTCCGCCTTTCAACTGGTCTTTTAAAAAAGTCGGAAAAGAGAAAATAAGGTTTAGTAAAACATATTAAAGTGGATTGGTCTATATTTGTCAGATTTTCCAAAAGTGTATCAAATATCATAAAAAATGGAACTGTATTATTTGAATATTGTTATATGTAAAAAAAGTTCCCGATGAAAATTTTTGAAAGAGTTGTGACTGATTCGGTATTTATATGATTTAAAAAAATATTTTGTTATTCAAAAGTTTATCAAATATAAATATATTATATTACACCATGTATTGAACATTCACAAACAACATACATAAACAATTATACGCCGTTTTAATACACAAACGTTCGTACTTCATTCATTCAGGGTTTAAATCATTATAAAAAATGAAACTGACTATGGTTTCCACATCATTAAACGCTTAACCACACATATTCACTGGATTAATTTAAGTATTTATTCATAACAGCAACATCAAATAAACAACAAAAACAAACACATGCATGCATGTACTAGTGAATAACTAATATTAGAGATGTACGGTCTGAAGCGGACTGCAGTAGTGGACATCGGATTAAGGACATCGTTTAGGGACTATCTCAAAATACTCATTGATTTAAAGTAATACCGTAAAACGAAGAGTTTTCATAAATCTTTATTTTTCGTACTTTAATTTGAACTTTACATAATAAGTCCAATTTGCTTCCTTCTGCATACAAGTGCAGCACATATCTTAACAGTTCTAGCTAGCAATCGCCTCGGGTGGCGCCATACGGTACTAACACTTGAGTAACATTTAATCTCTCCGATAGCGTGTTCCACCAAAACTCTATAACGCTTTACGTAACGATTAAAACGTAATGACTGCCGTCGTTCTACACCATGTTTTCTTCTAATCTGTGCCGCGGAATATGGAGTAAGAACGGGATACCCGTTCGGGTAAATTTTGTCACCTAACAAAAAGCAATGATCAGGAAATTGTAATTCTCTACCAATTTGTTGCATTAGGCCAAATTGCTGTGCATCATTTTGATGTCCCAAAAACCCAGATTCAACGTAAACTATTTTACCCGTATTATCAACTATGACCTGTGAATGTAAACAGTGATAATGCCTATGACCAGAATAATATTGTTGTTGGTTCGCTGTTGGTCTATAAATTTCGTGGCTAGTACCATCTATTGCCCCAACAGCAGCATCAATCTTGGCCCAGTTTCCACGCAAATTATTCCATTCATGCAAATTTGGCCAGTGAATATAATCAGATAATGATGCATCAAAAAATGGTAGTGCACGTTTTATCTCCTCTTGTACATTCGTCACACTAATGTTAAACCAAACAGCTAGTACTCTGTAAGAATGGTAAGTTCGTAACCAAATCAAAACAAGTAAAACCCGATTTCTTTTAGACAAAATGTTATCATGTTTACTTGGAAGAGGTATGATATTTACAAGTTCTAGGAAAGTCTCAGGACTTTCTCCAGTGGTTTCAAAGAACTCGTATCGCCGATCTGAGATCAAGCCAAACACATTTCTACCAGTACATGGACCGTCGGAGTTGGGTAAAAGCCTGTTTCTTACATCTAGTAGAGGATCTGGAGGTAGGCGACAGACAAGAAGTAGCGATCTCATAACACATTTCTGGTATTCTGTAAAATCGGGCGGAAGTTGGGCAAACAAAATAACTGCTCGTAACATACGTCTTCGTCGTTGGCGGTCCATCTTATTCTGAAAAACAAATAGTAAAAAGATTGAATACACACATTGAAGTACCCGCAAAACTAACAGCCTAAATTACAGTACTATGTAATATTGTTGGTAGTAAATTTTGCACGATTTTCACGAAATATAAGTAGCAGCATAAACCATCATTGAGTGTAGTTTAAAATCATCATATTGGTTTACAAAAAGTTGAATTTGAATTGTTAAAATGGAAAACGATGAAGGTAAGAACTATTACTAATTTGTCATTCGTTTTATATAATATTATATTATATATAATAAATTACCTTATATCAATAAAAGTTTTATATATTCCTATCCATATAATACTAATGTTATCTGTTATAACTACATATCGCACGTGTATTCATTGTCATTAGGCCAAGTAAACATTGAAATCTTATATTGGGTTCCTCTGCTAAAGCAATTATAAATAATTAACATTATTTTTATATTTTCAGAAACCATATTGCAAAGACGTAAAAGAACGGTGAAATTCTCAGAACAGGAAATTCTGTTAATTTTGCGGGCCTACCTCACTCACCCGAGCAAATGGTCAGAGATAATTAATGATGTGAAGGCGAACATAGATCAGCTTGAACAAGCAACCAGAAATCTGTATAGTTCAGCCACAAACAAACAATTGAGGGACCGCATGTCGACGAAATTGAGTTCACTCATGTCTAAGAGGCAGGAAAATATAGAAAGTGAACCAATAAGGTAATTGTTTTGTAATATCGAATTCTGCCAATGTTATATAAAACCTTATAGTCTAATACTTACCAGATTTACTTGTCCTTTATTACTGTATTTTGCATCATCATTTAGAGAGTGTAGAATATGTACACGAAAGTCGCGATGTTTCTAGTAAAATAGCTTGTGTCGTGCTTGTTTATTCTCATGTATACCGTCTAATATATTAAACTACGTAACAAACGTTGCGCATTTTAGTAGCCCTTGTTATGTTCAAAAGCTAGACTGTTCCTGCTGTAAATTAGCTTTATGTTCCTTTCTTTCAGAAAAGCATTGAATGACATCAGGAACATGGAGCGGCAATTGGTTCAGGTGCAACCACAGCCCCAACCTCCACAGCAAGAAAATGCAGCAGCTCCTGCTGTAGCACCAGCAGTTCCCAATCCAGAGCCACGTCCTGCACAGGACCCGAGAAATGAGATCGCTGCCGCCATTTCAAGTGAGAGTGACCAGGATCAGGAACCTAGACAAAGGCGTAGGCCACGGAAGAGGCCTCTGGCAGATCTGGTCAGGGAAAATCATACCAAGTACAACAAATTTATGAAGAAAAAAATGCCCAAGATTTTGAGAGAGCTAGGCATAAGTTCTGACACTGAGAGTGATTGAATTAAACCCTGTAAACCAGTGCATAATTAAAAGATGATGACAAAATGTTTGTTTCTTTTTTGTAAAAAAAACAATGCAACAAGTTTGCTTGGCCTTAGAAAATCGTAAACAAAAATATCTTGAGAAAACCCCCAATATATGTAGTGTGTCCGTTGTCCACATCCATGTCCGACTATAGCGCGTACATCTCTATTAACATTGTCCACAAATCGAACGGACGATACAATCTTCCAAAAATTGTGTTACCTTATATAAGACTTTTTAATTTAAGTCCAGCTTTTAGATCTTCTTTAATTTAACCAATTGTTACGTTTTCACTGAAATATTACATTTTGTTTAGGATTATAAACTACAGATACAAAAATAAACCTGAGTACAACTGCAGTAAATAGGGTTAATTTGAAATCAATTGAATTAACTAAAATTTTGCCATTTAACTTCCAAATGAGATTATATTTATTGAATTACTTAAGTAAAGCTATTTTCTACGAAGCGTCAGGACTATCAGAGATGATGTTTTATTTACTTAAAGCTTATGTGTATAACCTTTCCAAATTTCTCTTCCTCGCAATGTTGCTCAACATGTTTGTGATAGTCCTGAGAGGCTGCCTAGATTATGTCTAGGCCTTTTATGGCTATTATAATAAAAAGCATCCAGATTAAAATTAAAGGGAAGTTTGCGTTACCTTATATATGTTGATGTTGCTATTGTTTGTACTCGCCACATACTTATATATTCTGCCAAATTCAAATTATATAATACTACTCATAATGAAATAAAAAGAAAAAAAAACGAGAATTTTTACTCGGTAACTTATGTTGTAAAATTGAAGAAATGAAATAGTTCCCCATCTCGGTATCTAAATGCTTAATGGCATTATGTAAGTCTCTTGGCAATTGATGTCACCGTACATAGGAAACGCGAGAATAACGATCAATAGCTATATACACCATAATGTCTAGGCAGATTGTTCACCATACTTAGCACCATATACAATAATCGATCCAGCAACACAATAATGTCCTCAACTATCAAGAGATTTTGATTTTCTGCTCAGACAAAAACTATGTAACAAATCAATTTGTTGCAATAAATATATTGTTCGCGAGTACTTAAGCATTCGTTTTCTAAATTGTATATTTTGTCTGTATAAATCTGTCACTGTTTAGGTTAAAGTTGTACTGATAGCATTCCTCTATCAAAGGTACATTAATTTTGTTGATGTTTGTAAAAAGTATATTTATCATCTTCAGTGAAACTGTTTATTTTGCATTGCTCTATTAAAACATGTGTTATCAATTACGAAACAATGTCGTACACAAATAAGCTCAACGTGTATGTCAATAGTTTGTTATTATATCCGAGTATTTTGTGGCAATTTATAAAACAATGGAAATACGACTGACTACTAAATAATCGCTGTACAACACATCGATGGTATTAAAAGAAACTTTCTTCAAAAAAAGCATTTAATAGTTAACCATCAAAATCATATTTTTAAGACCACATTTGAAAACATCTTGTAAACAAACATCGCAGTTTTTAAATTGAGATCATTTATATTATGCTGAACAACTTTCAACTATGTTTCCATAGCTTTTATAACAGGTCAACGAATTAATTGTTTAATTGTGTTTTTAATTTAAGTTAGAATATATATATATGTTCTATTTGTCTCATTTAGTTTATGATCAGGCATTGACAAATAACTGTAGAATACATATTTCTTAATCTAAGTATTATTACTTTCATATATTTTCCTTTCCTGTCTAAGTTCATCTTGCAAAGTTAATTATTAAGTAGTTAATTTGTAAGTGTTATCAAGAGATTTATTATACTGATTGGTAGTGGCGATTTTTTGACTATTTTGTGTTATTACAAAGCATATCGTAGCAAACTCGCGATCGCGATATCGTTGAGATTGAATAACAATGTACAATATATCATGGTTTTTATATAATATATAATACAGCATATTCTGTTAGTTCGGTGCACTTAAATCCATTGAAAGGAATCAGAAATGTAAATTTTGATTAATAATCGCAACGCAGGATTATTTTTAATTTATTCCAAACTTTGTAAAATGTAACTTAGGAATGTCAGCCTTTGGACCATTTGATAATTGCAAGATATTTTATAAAGATAAATCTTTAATTATCAAAAAGCTTTATTTTAATGAGATAAAAATAAATGCACTTCAACGATTGTAAACATTTCGGTTCAAGTATCTTTTTTTCGATTATTATATTTTTAGTATGGTTAAATGAATAACAATAGTTAGGTGACTATTAGCTCGACAAGTAACAGATACTTTATTCTATACACGTTTGTTTTACGTTCATGACAGGTTCAAATAGTTATTACTGCGATATCAACATCATCATCAGACAAAAATAGCTAAATATTAACGATTTGAAAATTTGATAGAAATCTTACAAGCCTCAGGTTCGATTCGAGTTGTATTATTTTCATAAATGAAAATGTACCAATTAATCAAAACATAAAGGCATGCACATCAATTGCATTTAGAACATAAAAAAGCATTTGGAAATGTACGAATGATTTATCGTCTAATCGACCAAATTCATTAATGCTTGATGTTTCAGTATGTCAGATAAAAGGTTTGCCATTCTCACTGGACGGTTTTAGGTCCAGCTATTATCATTTGACAAGTATTAATGGATGCACTGAATGAAATTATTTGTTTGTGACAAGTGTAAACGATTTCGTATCAAATTATTTGCCAAACAAAATACATTGATTTGCAGACAAGAAAGTAGTTTATTGTTACCATAGCGTATGTACTATTATATGTCAAACAAGTTATTGTTATACGATCTATAAATGAATAGTAAAAGATTAGTTAATTGCATATTTATTTGTTTATCACTCGGTTGTAAACGTCAAATATTAATTACTGTAAGTTCAAGCAGGGTATTTTCAAGAGGTTTATTGCATAGGTCAAAAACTGGTCTACTATTAAATCTTACCAGAATATATTTTCTAAGCAAAAGATTCGAGTATCTTTTAAATTAGGTCGATTTAACATTTTTGCTCTGATTGAAAGTAACGAGACTTTTTATTAATATTGTTCCTTTGGATTTCTCTTTAGCTCATTCTCCTGTGCTGCTGCTTTCATCATCAATAACATGTGTATCCAATAAAAGTGTACAAGAAACCAATTATGTTAAAAGCAGTAACTGACACATTTTTTAAATGTATTGAAATGACATGGACCGGAACTGCAACACTCCGCCGCATATCATTCTTGTAATAAGAGACGAGTTTGCCAGTTTAGATGCCAAGTAGCGAGTAATGCGACTTTAGACCTATTCTCAAACTATTTGTCTTCTAAAACAGACAGAAACAAGTTTCCTTTTCAGTGAATGAATCTGAAACTAAAGCCACACTATTGACCAGGCAATTAATGAATAATTCAATTTAGTTTTACATTTAAGCACAATACTTTGAACTTGACTCAGTACATATTTGTCTACAATAACGGCAATTATGACAGACGGTTCTGTATCAAATTAAGTTGACACAAACCTTATACAAACACAAATCTTATTTTATTATTTATTTCCTTCCTTATTATTTCCAGCCAATCCTAATGGTAGTAACACATGTCTTGTATTTTTGTTATTAGACGAATATGGTAGCACAATATCTGTTTTGTGATCGAAACATTATTGGCATTATTTTACAACAGACTCCTCTTACGTTAACAGAGTTGTACGCTTCAAGGATCAAACGTGCATTTTAAGCCTTCAGGAAAGAGGGCCAATCAAATATACGTGTTAGGTAAGACAGTAAAGATGTAATTAATGATTACTTCAATGAAGGGTAAAACACGTGATGTGTCAGTCCTTTCACAAGAAAGGCAAAGAAATATAGTAAAAAAACTAAAATAACTATTATGATAATTTTTGTTATTGTTAATTACAAGCAAAATGTGTTTTGTTTCATTCACATACAATAAACCCACTAAAATAGTACATAGATGAGCTTGTCTGAGATTGTTATGCTTATGAAAGAAAGAAATTATTATATTATTTCCTAAATAAATCAAAAGGGACATTTTACAACTTGAGACAAATAAGAGGTCTCTTTGTTGTCTTCGATTTCAAGAACATAATGGAAAGTGTCAATGAAAAGAACATTTTTCTCCGAATTCGGAGAGAAAACAATAAATCGAGCAAATTACTTACAAAGTTAATGCATAAACGTCAGTCCTCAGCCTACATTGGGTTATTAAAACGTTGATATGCAGAAGTAAAAAACTTGTATTATTGTGTACAATCATGTGTATAGATCTAACTATCAGAGCTACCGGTTAAACAAATGCAATAAACATTTTAGTATTTCAAAATATTGTTTAGAAATTGTTACAGTAAACTATAACAAATATGCATATTCACTTTTTGTAATTAGGTTTCATTAGAAACTTTTATTTTCATAATAATGATTTAGCTTATAAATTTCTTAAGACGTGGACATTGTTAAAATTTATGTGTAGGTCGTGATATAAATATATATCCATTACCAGCAGATTTTGTTGAAAAACAGGTAGTATATGCATTATAGCTTTGCTTTTGTAAGATGGAGGGGTACTTCATAGTTTCGGTTAAACGTTGATACAATAAACAAGATGTACGTTTACTTTAGCCGCATTTGTCCTTCTTATAATAACAATAACAAACAAAAGCTCATATTGATACTTGGATTACATATAATCATTTATTCCGACATCTTTTACATATCATTTAAGCCTTGTTTGAAAAATAATCCTTAAAATGTCTGTGTATTAACTCTAAATTAGGTTTGCAAATATGTTTTCCAAAGCAAATTAGCATATGTTTCCTTAGGTTAAAATGAACATACTGTTTCATCAATAAAATAGCTAACAGTTATTATTGTTATTCCGAATGAAATTCAATGAAAACATATACCATTTAATGCAAATGCAATATATAAAAAATAAGGTTTACATTGTCTTGAATGTATATCAAAGCAATAAATTTATCCAAAAACGAATTTATATCGGAAAACTTTTCTCTTCGACATATACGACTTGTTTTAACTGTTGTTTTTTTCTGAAATATAAAACACAAATATTGTTAATTTTCTGATATGAAATATAAATAAAATCATAAGGCAACGTTAGATAAAAGCTGTGGATTTTATAA